TATGTCAGATTTGAGGTTTGGTTGTTTTTAAATTCGAAATAATTTGTTCTAGATTTAATTGAATTAATTAATTATTTATATTCCCCCTTCCATCAATAACTATTCCAAGGGACTGATAATATATTTGAAAAGAAATATCAAGTAATTTTTTTTTCATTATTAAGGTTCTACTTTAATTAATTTTCTGGTTATTCTATATATCGCACATTTTGATTTTTTTTTGAAGATTTAGATTTTAGGTAGCTTTATTAAGATATTCTAATGTGGATTCAAGATACTTCTCCTTGGATATAAAGGCTAAATCATCTGCGTATAAGGTAATGGTCAATACTGTTTGAGTTACCTATTGCTTCATTCTTTTTATAAAGAAGTGTGAGTATAAATCAAAAAGAAAAGGAGAAAAAGCACTTCCTTATGGTACTCCATTTAAAAAGCTATCTTTTAATTTTTTCTTTGATGTATTGCCATCTCATAACGCTTTGAAGGAAATTTGATTCATCTTCGTCTAGTACTTCGCTTTCTTAGAAAAAATTAAATAGTTTATCCATTAGTTATATGCTGAACGGAAGTCTAAAAATATAACAACTCCGTTATCTTTTTTCCAAAAATTATTACATGTTTGTAATCAGTTTAATATCTGTGGTTGTGTTCCAGCTCCTTGACAAAACCAAATTATTCTTTTATAATATTTTTTTCAATCTGATGTTGATTGCTATAATCAAAATAATTGAAAATTGAAATTTTGCTGATGTTACTTATAAATAACTCATTTTTGTAACTCTATTCCTTTTTATATTATCTTTAAATTATTTCTTTATTTTCTATTTTGACTTAATCTACAATTTTATGACCTAGTTTCTATTAATATTCTCGTTACATCATCATTACCTAAGATAAAGATATAATTCCTTAAACCATACTATCTTAACATTATGAAATTCATATTATCAAAAATTCTTAACTAATTTTGAGTTAACATTGCCTCTAGCGCATTAAAACATCATTCCCGATTGCACCAATAATATTAATTCATTGTTTACTTAAGCCTTGTCAATTTTTAATTGTAAATATTTTTTTCTCTATAAATGATAATGCGAAGAGGAATTGCTAACTTTTATTCTCCTTTGTGATGCTTTAAAGTTGATCTTAGATGTATTCTTTTATGTATATCAAAGCCCTTTAGTTAACGTTATAAAACTTGAAAGAGACACATTGTCAGTTTGTATTCTAAATGTTTAAAGAAAATCCTTATATATATTTTTTAAAGAACAAAATTTCTCTTGATTTTAGTAATTCATCTATTCATTCAACCAAGTTAAATGTTGTTCATCTAATTAATCTTAAAAGGAATAATCACTCATCTATAAACCATCTTAAATCTGCTGCAATTTTTTTGACATTCCCAATATGGATGATTAAATAGATATAGGTCTATGTTGTCTATGCATTCTTCGTATAATTTATTTTTATTTTAATGCATCCTAACTGGTTTTTTAAAAAACAGAGAATTGGTGAGCTTGAATTTTATATTTTTTATCTTTAAAACTTTCTTATCTTTAATTTAATCCATTAGGTTTTAACATAATAGTTTAGATTATTCTAAAGTTAATGTGTTGTTAACACACGATTTTTAAAACTGATTTAGGTAATGAACTTAGGTATAAATATGATAATCCAAACATTCCTGTCCACAAGAATGATCTTTCAACAAAAGTTCTTAGCAAACTACTCCTAAACTCTCCTTATCAAATTTTTGTTCTTTAGATCAAGTATTAATGTAGTTCTTAACAGTAAATTAAAAAATGCAATATTTTTGAATTATCAATTTCATCATCAAAAATTAATATGCTACTTTTAATTATGTTGCAGATATAATTAAATCTTCAATTACGCAAAAATGTAATTAAATTTGATTGTGCGCTTTGAATTCTGAATTCAAAAATAATATGTCCGCAACCCTTTAAGAGGCAAATGCAGCGATTGGTTCGAAAATCCATATCAAATAATTATTGAATTTAAATTTTTAGTGATTTCTTTTTCAGTTATTACACATTTAATAATAATTCAAAGTTGAAAATTACAAAACCTCCCAAAGAAGAATATTAAATTTCAAACTCAATCAGTGTAGAGTACATATTAATATGTGGTATCATTCAACCTCCAACATCATTTAGAAACCAATAAATCACTTTTGATCATCAGTAAATAATTATTTTTGTTAAATTGCAAAATAGAAAAAATTTGTTTTTAACTAAATAGAATTTATTGTTTGGGCAAGATGAGAGGCGAGAGTGTCGCTTCAGAAAAAATGTTATTTCATATAAGCAATTAGAATAATTTAGGTAAATAAGG